TACTTTAGGACTTTACTTTGGGTGGGTATGTGCCGCTGGACTGGAACCCTTAGCCTATACCAGAGCTAGTTCAGTTGAATATTGCTACCCTATACTAGACTAAACTCCCCAAATCCCCCCTATTGTAGGGTACCTTTTAGGCTGAGTTGCGTAAATTTAAACTTGCCGATTTGATTTTTCTATATTTTTGAGTGGCAATTCCCGGTTTCCCTAGTCTAGACTAAATTATATAACATTTTCAACCAATTGAACAGTTTCCTGGAAAATGATACCCTATTCTAGACCTAAACTCTCTGATTTATATACCCTATCCCAGAGAAAACTGCTTGAAAACCATACCCTTCACAGCGGCACATACTTATATAGCCCATATATGGCGGAAGATCCCGGGAAACGCCCCAAACAGAATGGGCCTTTTGTAAGAAACTTTCTCATGGTATGAAATAGTGTACTACAGTATTCTACCCTGGGTATTTTTTTTCATGACGTGGTAATAACATATGGGGAATCTTTCAGTCCTGGGAAAGACTAGGCGCCGGCAGGATCAACCCCTTACTTGTGGAGTGGGAGGGGGGTCGTTTACGTATTTATTCTATAGTGGACTCGATTAGGGTGATTAGAGGGAGCACGTGCCTCTTTTATAGTCTTATTTGCATAATTTTATTTGCATAATTTTCAGGGTCTCACTCACATTAGTATGAGTAAACTAAAATGTTGTACGTCTCCACCCTCTAACCCGTGGGGGCGCGTTTGTCCCCCCCCCCCCATCCCTGGGTTTGGGGGTGGAGGAGACTTATGACATTTCAGACTATAGTAAGTGGGACATTGAAAAGGAAGAAGGCAACTCATTTTCGATTCTCCATTTAGCTTGTATGTCATCCTTGCTTTATTTTGCCGGGGACCGTTCCTTGGCAGTTTTTGTTGTCTTTTTTTTGGAATCATTACCCAAGTTCTCAATCTGGGAAATCGTATCATGGACGAAACTTTAATAACTGACCAACCAACCAAACGACTGACTTACTAACTAACCCATTAACTAACAAACTAACTAACTCACTGACTGACTGACAGACTGACTGAATGACTGACTGACTGACTAACCCATTAAAATAACCAACTAACTAAATGACTGAGTAACTAACCCATTAGCTAACTAACTAACTAACTCACTGACTGACTGACTGACTGAATGACTGACTGACTGACTGACTAACCCATTAAAATAACCAACTAACTAAATGACTGACTAACTAACCCATTAACTAGCTAACTAACTAACTCACTGACTGACTGACAGACTGACTGACAGACTGACTGAATGACTGACTGACTGACTAACCCATTAACTAACTAACTAACTAACTCACTGACTGACTGACAGACTGACTGAATGACTGACTGACTGACTGACCCATTAAAATAACCAACTAACTAAATGACTGAGTAACTAACCCATTAACTAACTAACTAACTCACTGACTGACTGACTGACAGACTGACTGAATGACTGACTGACTGACAGACTGACTGAATGACTGACTAACTGACTAACCCATTAAAATAACCAACTAACTAAATGAGTGAGTAACTAACCCATTAACTAACTGACTGATTGACTAACTAACTAACTAAGCAACTAAATAAATGAATAAATAAATGAATAAACAGACAAATAAATACATGCTTATTTTTTCAAACGAGTTATACAAAAAACCTATTCGTAATTCATGACTGGTATATATTTTTTAACGGGGTTTGCACTTTTCGGTAAAATTACTGATGAACTCGTAGCTCCCCTAATTATAGGAAAATCACAACGTTCCTCCATTTTACACGGGGATTGTTGAATTGTTTTGTATCTGTAACCTCGATAATAAAAATGAACCAATCAGCTCGCAAGAAATTGTTCAATTATTTAAAAAAACACCGTTTGCAAACGAGACCTTTTGCAAGACGCTAGGAGGGAGCAACTTGAGTAGCAAAATTGCGAGCCTGCCTTAGACCATTTATAAAACGACTTGCCCTGGAGCAAACCTTGTCCATTAGAAGCTTTCAATTAAGTACACACCTAAGTATTTTGTTTACTTAACTCTGTGACTGTTTCCCTGGTGCCATGTTCCCTGACCCCAGTTCAATAGGGCCACGTCCCAGGATCGCGAAAAGTGCGGAAAAATAGGTCGTGTCTTTAATCTGCTGGTGTACCACGCCAGAATGGTACCCGGTCCTTTTGCAACAAACCGTCACTTGGAACAAAAAACCCATGCTGGCTTTTAAACGAAAAATGCAGTGGAATCTTTAAAAGAAAAAAATTAGCATTATAAAAGAAAGAAGCTCGTTAATGTGTTTGGTTTTTGTGGTCGACTCTATTTCGTTTGCTGACTAGCGTGATATAGTTGTACCATGTTGCGTTCCCCATAATACAACTCATTTTTCTCAGTCCTTGGACTATTTTTGGGTCTTTTCCCCTTAAACTACGTCTGTCGTTCCTGCATAGTTCAGCAAGGGATTACTAGGCGAATTTTTCTCGTAAAAAGGACCCAAGGAATTGTGTCATTTACGATACTTAAGTAAATTAATAAACTATGTACATGCAGAAACTTTCAGAGGGCATAATTCATTGTCTAACAACTCTAAAAACTCAAATTTAAATGAAGATATACCGTAAAATTCCGAAAATAAGTCCCGGGGCTTATATTTTTCAAAGACCCTTTTTGAGGGGCTTATTTTTGGAGGGGCTTATATTCGGAGGGGCTTATCTATGGAGGGAAATTTGCGTTTCAAAACCGATTGGGCTAGCCTTATAGCTGGAAGTGAATTTACCGTTTTTGCTTTGTTTTTCTTTGTATTTGAGGGCAATTTTCCAAGTACAAGCCCCCGGGGGGCTTATATTTGGAGGGGCTATTTAACGGAGGGTCTTTTGCGTTACCGGTTTGGGGGGCTTATATTTGGAGGGGCTTGTACATGGAGGGGCTTATTCTCGGAATTTTACGGTAATTGACGCAGTGGAAATTGCAATTTAAGCAATTGTAAATTAACCCATGAACAATTCCGGGACTTCAACGGGATTCGAACACATGGCCTCTGCGTTAGCGCTGCAGTGCTCTACCAACGTAGCTATGAGGACCCATACATTGGGGAAAGGCCAATTTGTTGAGTTCATCTTAACCCGTGAATGGACAAAAGCAACAATTAACAAACAGCACAAGAACGCCATTTTGTGTACTGCTTACTATTTGCACAATATTTGCTTAATATTTGCACACACCGTCAACCAACCAATTTCTCAGTGGCAAACATTTGCAAGTCACTACAATCAAAATTAATGAGTCTAAAGAAAACAAAATCCTTCCACAGACTTGATTTGTCTGGCTCAACAGGTCCGGGGGAGGCAGCTGCCCCCCTGCGCACCCCCCGCTAGCTACGGCTCTGCCAAAAATGCAAATTCTGCTAGTTGTGCTTTTTTTCGTAATAACGAATTATGCCAAAAATTATGCTAGCATTATCCATCAAAGGCTATTAGACACCCCTTTCAGATTAAACGCCCCTTAAAGACTAAATGACAGTACGGTGGTCTAGCAATCAGTTCCTCTTTCCTTTATTTAACTTTTATATATTTAATTTCTCCAATCCATAGAACATAAGAGTACTAAACATTACCCATAATAAGCCAGAAATTGCAGAGAAAGGCAGCTGCACTTACATTACGGCCTTAGCACAACTTGAAATAGGCCATTCTCGAGTTCTACAAAACTCTCCCAGTTTGAGAACTAGGCTGAGTGCAAAACCTTCCTTGTTATAATGAGTTTTAATTGCATGAGAATGAAAAAATTATTTTCATGTCAATAGCTTCCCACTTAGCCTTGCTTTGAAACAGAGCCTTGGTGCTACTAGGGAATGGCCCATAGACAAAAAAAATATGTCATTGTTCATCCAGAATATTCATTCGTTTCTGATTGGCCTAAATCCCCAGGCTTATTCTTCATAATCAGCTAACTTGACCAAATTTGGTATACGATTGCTGTTAATTTGCGATCGACCTCAATAGCAATGATATAAAACTGAAAAAGGGACACATTACTATCTTAAAAAAAGAGTGGACAAAATTACAAACATACCACTTGAAGCATGACGACTTCTGTATGAAGATTATCTGCCCAGGAAAAAATTCCCTTCACATTATGAAAATGCCAGGGAACAAGATCGTAACTTTATATAGAGATAAGTATGTTACGAATGAATAATAAAACATGCACGGTACTCCTGAAAATTGTCAGTGAATTGACATTCGATTTCCCTTTTTTGTGGTATATAAAGTAAGGTGTATCTTTTTAGGTGGTTCCAATATTTTTAGGAATTGCATTATCAAGTTTACGAAACTCTTTTGTAAAAAGAATACTTCAAATTAAACTAAATAGCAGCCAAGCATTTTGACTTAAGGCTTTCCCCTTTTAACCACACCAAAAAGAGAAAAAATAAGGACAAGAGGTACGTTGAGCAATGACTTCTCATAGGATTACCGGAAGCGCGACTTTTTTACTTTAAGAAGCTAATATTCCTGTGACTTTAATAATCGGCTTTGTACAGATTACCTTGAACCGATAGGTCTTGCTAAAAAAAAAAGCAGATCACAATTCGAGAGTTTTCAAGGCGACATTTTTTCAACCACTATCCTGAGTGCCAGAGTCTTTTCATACGGATGCGCGGTTTCCGGTTTCGGTCAAGTCTTTTGGGCCATGTCCACACGAATAATTTTTTATCCAGATCCGCGTGGACGGAGCCTTAAAAAACGCCACTGTAGAGCGGTTTAATAATAATTCGGTTCCGGTGAGCGGATTCACTGGTTTCGTGTAGACACATAAAAACGTATTCGGTTTCAAAAATATCCAGATTCGTGTGGACGTAACCTTAGTGACCCGCGCCGCTCGTGGCTTCGGCCGTAGATGTGTCGCTGCGGCCGACACCGAAGCCTCCCGCCGCACTAGGAAAGAAACCTCAAGTACCCAGGTTATTCGACTTCTATCTTCAACTGCTTCTGCCATTTTTGAATGGTGCCAGTCGGTAATCTTATGCAGATGTCTATAAAGCAAAACGTTCATAATTAAACTGATATATTAAAGTCTTATCTAGAAATCAACGTTTACATTTTAAACAATTTTACAATTTAACTAGAAATCAACTTTTGCAATTTAAACTCAGGATTCGGCTTGACAATGCTCTTGCCCAGACTCCTGCAACAAGTTGTCAACATTTGACTCAGCCCAGGCCTTCTCCACTTCTTCCCAGTCGTTGTCAGACAAACCTGTTTTTCGTTTTGAGGAAAATTAAAATACTGCCTGTGAGAATCCAATGAATGAATATGATTTCTTTACTGTTAAGTAAAACTTTGCAAACAAAGGCTTCAGGGTTACTTACGATGAGACGTATCAAGCATCGCCCAGAATCACTCGACATATCCGGGAACTTTAAGCGCACTCCGAGCGCCAAATTTAGTTATTATGTTATTATTCAGTTATTATGCCGCACATTGAGAAACTGCGCACTGTAAGTACATGTCGCAAAAGACAATAGGGACTTTAAGATCCAACGACGCGGACGATAACGAGAACGTCAAAAAAACAATTGGTTTAATTAGCAAAACAACAACTTCGCACGTGCATCACATTTTTTTGTAAATTTCTTTCCCGTTTTTGCACGACCACGACGTGAAAATGCCTAATTTCGCGTTTTATGGAGGACGTAAACAAGCAACGACGAAATTTTATTTCTCTTTCTGAGCTTGAATTTGGTCCCTTGAAATTCAGCTTCAGGAGGGTTCGCCTATAATTTACAAAGTAAGTGGGTAGGAATAATCGCTATAAAGACTGAAAGAACGCAAATTCACTTTTTAAGCGACGTTCTTGTCGCCGTCGCGTCGTTGGATCTTAAAGTCCCTAATAGCATCCTGGGCGATGGTTTCAAGCTTTTTTCTAACTTAACAAAAAACCTTGAAAATATTTACCAAAACCTGTAAAAATCTCTCCAACTAAACATCTCCCCAAAATGTAGATTTTTGTAGCTAGACCCACGCGCGGGAAGTCTATTTTCAGCGTAGGAATGTAGAATGTGGCACTGAAGTGATATTGGTATTCTTGCTTTCTCGCACCAGCTTTCGCGTTATAGCCGTAGCTCTTCTCCGAGCTTTAAACATTAATTCATTTTAAAAATTGTTTCACCTTATTGTAACATAATCCAGAACATACATTACGTTTGTCCTGACGAAAGACTTGGTTAACCGTGATGAAATGAACCGTTAATAAAAAAGAAATAGACTTTGCCGTCGTCTCCGCAATAAGAGTTCCTTTTGCATGCTAGACTTGTCACCCTCTCCTCCGGGGGGCCTCTCCCTCTTTTCCACATTCCAAAAAGAACCCCCTGCCACAAACAAATCAGTGGCGGATCCGGGGGAGGGGCCCGGGGGGCCTGCCCCCCCTTATGTTGGGACCAAACTGCGGCCCCAAGGGCCGAAAAAATTTTGCTGGGAGACGGCCCCTCCCATTTATCTAAGGATCTGGATAATCGAGCCCCCCCGCCTTATCTCAAGGTCTGGTTCCAGCACTACAAATGTTACTACTTTCTATGTTTAGGACTCCGTCTCACCTGCAAGAAGCTTAAAAACAATTGCATATCCCTGAATCTTTTCCACTTCAATGCCGTGCAGATTCACTGTTCGGTCTTTGGGGTACGCAGTGACATAAAGGCTAAGAAGGAATGAGCAGTCCGCTTCGTCAAGAGGTTCTTCCACCGATATCTTCGTCTCCTTCTCTGTCAAGGCTTTTTCAAGCTATAGATGAAAAAATGAATAAATGAAAGGTTTGATTCAACGCCCAGAGTGAAAATGCTGACCAGGACTGTTTGTAAACAAAAGCATGTAAGTGAACGTTCTGAGCTGTAGAATATGCTGCCGCCGAGTACTCTGACTCTACTCAAGATACCTCGAGTGCTACGAGTCCAGTTCACATGGACTCACACAAACGGAGTCGGTGGTTTACTCGGATCGTCTGTGGCTCCGTTTATGAGGAGAAAAGGTGGCCCCGGTTAGAGTTTCACTCGCCTATCCGAGCTACCATGGCGAGCTAACCTTTCCACAATTCCTATCAAAACTTAGCGAACCGTTTACAAGAGAAACAAAAAGTTGGCTCGCCAAGAAGGTTGACTCAACTAGCCGGGCCACCCTTTTCCGATGGCCATGGTAGAGTTCCCCTGTTAGCCGAGCTAACTTTTCTCTATTTAAACACTTTGGCTCGCCAAGAGAGGATAAACATCTCTCTTAGGCTGGTTCACCCGGTATGGTCAACACGGTCTGGCGAGAGGGAGCTTAAGCAACGACGTTCTTGAGCGACGCAAGTCAACCGGAAGTGGCCAACTTTTACACACTTTTAAGGCATTAAGCCTCAAAAGATAACTTGTTGAAGACTATAAATAGTTAAATTGATATCCTATATAAGACTCAAGACCCTAATATATAGATTTATCCAAGCTAGAAGCGAAGCTCTCAGTAATAAATTCATAATTTACTTAAAGAAATAAACTTGCAAAAAAAAACCTACTTGTAGTTGAGCCTGCCGTCAGTTAAAAACTAATAACTTGTCAGCGGTTAAATTTAAAGAAACACGCAACCTCGATACGTTCATGTGATACTAGGCTGATGTAGCAACAGAACGGGAACGTCTGTTGACGACTGCGCGCGCAAATCAAACAACTGGCTTGACCAATGACAGAGCGGCAAATTGGATACCGGAAGTCGAGTTTAGTCCTTTCCGCGCGCTTTCCCGTCTTCAAATGAGGTTCCCGTTCTGTTGCTAAATCAGCCTACCAGTAAGCGGATACCTTGCCTTGACAGCTGTCAATTGATCATACAGTTGATGTGCAATATCAGGTTACAAGCTCTCACACTAGCTAGAAAGTGTGAGATTTCACATTGGTTCCTCTGTGGTGCGGACGGACGGTCGGATAACCAAATTTTCTTAGCTATGGGGCTCCGCTCGCGCACGCCTCGCCCTTCCGCCTATTCAGTGGCAAACACCCGTTTAGGCCGAATACGGGAGTGGCCCGCCTAGGGTCGTATCTACGCTCATTTGTGATTTTCCTTACCCAGTTGAGGTACTTGTTAATCCGCAATTTTCGCTCCCCTCTGTTCTTGGTTGGTATCAAAACTGAGTTCTTAATTGTCTCCAGATTCTTTTCATCTCCGAACTCTTCCGAAAAGGAATCTAACGCGACGAAAATATATACATGTTATGTGGTTAAGTTTTCGATTTAAATATTTTACAACTATATGCGTATTAACGCTTAAAAAATAAAGCAAAAATAATACTAAAAAATGAACGCAAAGATAACTTGGACCACACGAATACAAAACATTTCGGTCATGGTAGAATTCACGGCGACGAAGCTGCAATAAATCGCTCTTAAATTGCGGACGTTTTCTGGCCACTCGCGTTTTGGGTTAAAACCATATAGTAACTCTTCGTTCTCTTCTCTTACATTTCCCGTGTAAGCCCGCCTTACTATAGAAAGTTGGGTGTACAACAATTTTAATCTTTTACCTTCCGAATGGCTCTGCTCGTCCTCATCCAGATCTACTGCTGTATTTTCGTATTCTTCCTCATCATCGTGATGACAACCTCCTCGGGCGCGAATACAAACAGGTTCCCCAACTGCAAGTTGCAATTTATTAGTCATCTCGTTGAGAACCACTCTGCGGCACTCAATTAGAACTGGCCCGCGTGTTTTTCTTATCGCCAGCTTTGGAAAAATGTACTTTGTTTTCCAGTGTCTAGTCAATCGACCAGTGATGCTGTTTGGAAAAATGACTCCTTTATCTACCTCAAACTGCAAGTGGATAATGATAAAAAAATGGTTAAACAGAACGAGGCACTTAATAACCAAAAGAGATACAAGTTTACTGCATGATACACTTAGTATAGACTACTAAGCAGTCCGGTTTTTTTTTTGATATTTAAGTACGTGCGAACAGTCAAACAAAAGGTCTGGAGCGAGGCTGAAAACGGAGAGCCTACGGGCGTGCGAGGCTCGCGCGCCTTGCGCGTTTGAGACTGACACTACACTTAAACGATTTTGAAGAAAAACGGACTGTTTTGCAATCTACACTTTGTACATCTCTAGAGGACCCCTCCTTTTGGCCGGTAATAAAAGAAAACTGAAATTTATAGCCTAAGTGCAAGTCAGCCGGGGACCTTCAGCCCGGATACATTCCCTTTTTTCTATAAGAATTTATTTGATAAGAATATCAAGGCTGAAATTTGCGAAATTTTAAGAATATTTTAAGAAAAAACCCCAGGCTGAGATTTTGAAAAGGATATAATTTTGTGTGTTGAAAATCTGTAAATACCGTGATACAGCTATATGTTTTCAACTTATTCCTTTCCCTAAACGGCAAAACAAGCCAACAAAACGAAAAAACGTGTACCAACTTAATTGATACCCCAATATATTCTTAAACAGAAATGTTATAAGTTATAATTTAAGAATAACACAAGAATATTTTCAGCCTAAAATGGCAGAAAAGTAAGAACATTCAGCCTGGGCAGAAAGAACAACATTCTTATTTAAAAAAAAAGAGTAAGGCTTTATCTTTGTTCCGAAGCATAAAATAAAGTACTGCCGAAAGTCACGTTGCATCGAACAGCCAACGCTTTCCTTATTCTTATTTATACAGCGGAAAGTGTGATTTAGAACTTGACGGAGCAAACGCTTTTCTTGGACCTCACTTTAAGTGGCTTCAACATTCTCTCGACATACGATACCATAAGTCATTCCCTCGACACTGCCAGACACATGAACAAATACAGTCGATACATGTATACAACGACCAGCTTAGTAGCCGTAGTGGAGAGGTTGGTTTGCCGTTGTAGGGAGGTAGGACTGCTTTTCTTAAAGTGCTTATTATAGCACACTAACGCTATCAAAATGTGTCAATACAACAGAAACCAACAGTTCAAAAAACAAAAAAGGCCAAGAACACAAGAGAGTAAAGTGGAGTGCGTATACACCGGTTTGCTTCACTTTTAGATGTTCTTGGCACTTTAGGCGCAATCTAGTGGCCGCTGCCATTGAACAGTATAAGGTGGTCTTGAAAGGCGGGTAAATAACCATTTATTTTTCATTACCTCAGAAAATCTCTTGCCTCTAAGTTGCAACCGCTCACTGTAAACTACTGAAGTTATCAAACGCAGTTTGTGACCTTGGATAGTTTTGGCTCTGTCGCTGTCCAGTTCTATTAACTGTAATAGATCACGCACATCCGCGTCTCCTACGTACTCTTTGTCTATTTTCCCTAATTCAAGAATTCCAATTTCTTCATTTACTTTAAACTTCGCATTCGCACACGCTCCTGCTTGAACCTCAGCTTCAACTTTCCTAAATCAGATAGAGCAAAACAGTAACATTATTCCGGGTGTGGGGTGGGGGGACTCCTGTATAAAAGTGGCGAAAATGCTTGTCGTCTCGCTTAGGGGTGTAACTTGCAAATTTTGGCCTCACTTAGTGTATTTGGGACGGAAAGTCACAACATTTGCCCATTCAGGTATCGCTTGGGCTGTGCATAAAGAAATCTACAGATTTATGACAATGATTTTGAAATCTTTTCATAGAAAAACGCATTCTATGTTAACATCTTTAACATAACATCTTTATGGTCTCCTTTTGAGCTCAGTGTAAGCCACACCCACATTGGTCTCCCTTAGGAGTTTCATTTTAATGTTCCAACGAGCATCCCCTTCACTTTTACATGGGAGTCCCCCCGAGGCCGTTATAGACTAAATATCTGGTTTCAATTTCTTATTGTCATCTCCATCAGACACCATCAACACACACGCTTTTGTTTGAAAAGAACGGTCACACTGACCGTGAGGAGTCTGAAAACGAGAAAAGGACAAATGGAAGAGGAAGACTTGCTGTCAGTTACCAGTCCCCCGCCCGTTCTCTCCCCATTCTCCCACTCATTCTTCTAAACAGGACAGTGATGACTGTGGAGTAGGCTAGTACCGGCACAGATCTGAATCTATCTCCACTTAAGAAAAAAACAAAAACAAAAACAAAGGAAGAGCCAAACAGAATGTATAAGTAGGTTGAGTATAAACGTCCGAGTCCGGGTCAGGAGTAGTCCTGAATAGGACTGTTGTTGACAGTGACTGACGTTTCCACAACCCAGGCGGTAGTCATCTTCAGAGTCAAAGTGACCTGTATCACGTCAGTTGATGGTAACTCTGGTTATTGACCTTATTGGTCAATTAAGTCGCGATGTTATTGGTCGTCTGTCAGTTAAGCCATGATGTTATTGGCTAGGAAGACTCGTAATGTCATTGGCGGGTTTCAATCCGTCTATTGTCACAGTTAAATAGTCCTTTATTGTTTGTCAAATCGGTTGTCCAGTTATTCTCTAGTAGTTAGTTTTGCTCGAGTCCGTCCATAAGTCGTTTGTACGGCGCTGGTAACTGTTGGCTACGATTCAGTGGCGTTTTTTCTAAGTTAGTAAACCAACTTTCTAAAGTGAGTCGTTGATAGTAGTCTGTAGAATACGTAATACATGTGGCAGAGTCTCAGTCGATTTGATGTTTCGTCTGTAAATGGTGTTCATCAATGTGATTGTTGACGTCACCATTTATTGATGCTCGTTTGTTTTCGGTCGCCAATCGCGTGCTAATCCCGGGGTGCTAATGTTTCTGCCGGCTTCACCGATGTAAGCGGCGTGGCAGTCGCAGCATTTGATCTTGTGTACAGCTCCCTGTCTGTCCTTCTGTTTTTTTTTGTCCATGGCATAAGTAACTAGTCGTCGTAAAGTGGTTATATATAGGTTTGTGCGCGACAAGTATATTGTAAGGTTGTAGTATACGTGCGATAGCACGCGACTGTTGGGCCGGAGTACTTTTTTCACACGAAGAGAGTGACGAAGCCGCAAGGGAAAATCAGTTTGATTTTTTAAATTTCAATTTGACTTGCTCTCAATCTTCACGTGGCTCCGCCGCCGAAAAACTCCAGCACTCGCCCGCTATTACCACCAGCCACTTAGTCTAATTTTTTCAGCAAGTCATTCCCTCTTATTCAGTTGAACAAGAAAAATAAGCCTGGTGATCCAGTGATGAGACTGCCAAAACAAGGTACGTAAGATTACCCTCTTTCTTCTTATATATTTAAATCTTAGCCTTTGGAGATATCCTGGCATTACATATGCCCATCACTCCAGCAGGCCTAGGGAGATTATTTTATTTATGTATATTGTTATGATTGAAATTATTAGTATTAACCTCCAAGTATAGGTCAAGGCTGTTCTGCCGGTGAGTAATTACATCTATCTGAATCATAGGCATGAACCAAGATCAAAACGCTGACCAGAAAAAGTTTCAGACGGGGCAAAAAATTTAGGAAGGAATGATTCAATTATCTTACCTGCCAGTTGCCGCGTCATCCCCTTCATCCTTCTCATTATCCTCGTCCAGTTCCAGGGTAACTTCCACGTCATCTCTTTTAATTGCCCTGTCCACAGCATTTAAATATTCTTCTTTTTTACTTCGATTCATGTAAGTGTCTATTCTACCAAGGAGGACGAGAGAATCGGCTTTGAACGGACGAAGGAAAACACTTCTTGGTTTTTTTGCCATAAGTGCAAGTATTTGAACTTCTTGCGTGTTTCCTTGATGCACTGGATAGAACTCTTCACCGTCCGCCCCAAAGTTCTGTTCCGCAAATTCTCGAAGCGCTTGCTCAAGCATCTGCATAGCAAGGAAATGAAAAGTAGTTTTTATTGTTTGAAAGGACGCTAAGTCAGTTTTTCAGTAAAGTTGTCTCTAGCGTTGCCGTTTTCAGATCGAAATGTCCCCATTTTGGCGACGGAGGCAAGGAGGGCGGGGAGCTACTGACCTCTAACACTCACCTTTAGTTGTGATTTGCAAGCCGAAAGTGCCACTAAACATGACGAGTCTTTTAAAATATTTTGCATCGCACCGAACTCTAAAATGCCTTATTTACGCCGAGTGTCGAGTCTTCCTCAAAGAATTGCTTTCAATTCCAACTCAATCCGGCAAAACCTTAAGTCACGAGATGCCGGCATGTATAACTTTCCAGTTTTCTCAGTATACCTGTAACCACGGCTGCTTCAAAGTGACGTTTTTCTATTCAAAGGCGTCTAAAAATGAACTAGTGCTAGAGATACAGTGTCTCTGCTTTTTCTTCTAATACTTCCTTTCTTTTGGCACAATAACAGGTAAGGACACTTTGGGGTCAATTTGTCGTGGGATTCTTGATATTTCGCACTTTCACCATCTTTTCGTTTCTCAACAAGAATATCTTCTCTTTCCCGGGTAACTCTTTAGTTTTGTGAAACCTGTTCTAAGCGATCAGTAAGCTATTACCCCCGAGGGATTACCGCTTAATACATGTTTGAGAGTATATTCACTTTACGAAGTAATATTTTTAGGTAGAGTATATTAATAGCGTGAGGAGATCTTTAGTAAGCTTTGTTGAGGATTGAATGTGAAAATGCGGCAAATGCTACCGCTCAGGCGTTCGTGAGCGAAAACTCGAGCTGAGAACGGCGTCATTTTGGCCATTTCTACTTTACTGACCCTTCGTTAGTCCTGCAAAAAACAAGTGGTAGTGACTCAGGAAGCAGAAACCGAAACTTGTACCAAGAATAAAATTACACCACAACACAAACATTTTGCATAAAATCAGAAAAATTAGTTTCCTCAAAACACAATCAGTCTCAGCTCCCATCCTCCCATGTGTCATGGTTTAATTCAAAAGTCACCTCTCTGAAAACTAACACTTCAATGAATGGGATCATAGGCATTCTGATTTCTAGTGTAAACCACTATCAAGATAACTTTTTCAGTTTTTTGCTCCTTAAATATGCAGATTTTTCAGTAGTTTGAGTGTCCTTGCAGTTGTTAAATTTTTTTATCTGGAAATGTCCAGTTTCTCTCCTAAGGGTTCATGTGTTTCGCAGCCTCTGTTTCTGGCTTTTTAGTGCAGATACTTAAAAGAAAAACGATTTGTGCTAAGTTAAGTGACAACAGAATCTATAAATTCTTTCAGATAGTACGTAGAGCAGTATCTGAGAATTTCCGTTTTGATCTGTTTTGTGCCATAGGTCAGTGAGTTTCTTAGTTTTTTTTCCCCGCGGTTTCCGGTAATATCTTTTCAGTGCAGTTTTTAGCAAGCCCCAGTTTCCTCCGAGTCCTTAAAAACATCTCTTTTAATATAGCGCGCGTGCTTGCCCTATATTTAACAATTATTTCTTCGAGCCCGAATGGGCTCCGAGTCAATAGCCCATGAGGCCGAAGGCCGAATGTGCTATTGACTCAGAGGTCATGAGGGCGAGAGGAATAATTGCTTTAGTAAAATCCAACTAGCTGGTCAAAAATATCGAGACAAAACAACTTTAGCCGGTTAAAGCTAGACTTTAATCCTTTTTTTGCCGCCAAAAAGCCGGCGCTTTCGCTACTAGTGGGCTATAACATATAGCCTAGTAGTAGCTCAACCAATCAGAACGCAGCATTGATAATAGACAACTAGTTGGATTTTACTAAAAATTGATAGTCTATGAGCCGCTATGAAGTGGGATGACAGTCGTCTTCGTTAAAAAAGGAAGTTTTCTGGATTTCGCCGAGCAAAACATAAACAACTTTTCAGCAAATCATGGCCAGAAATTCCGGACAACGCAACGGCGCACGCGCGTGATTACGTGGCAATATGGCCGCCAAACACACAAAGGAAATGCATGGCAGAAATAAAACAAAATAAAATAGAGCAAGTTCTGGCTTACCGGGAACAAGTGCTGCGATGCAGTCGAGTTTTTGAAAGTTTCCTCTGCTATTCTGATAAGTTGCTTTTCATCAACAAATGTTAATGGCCCCGCTTTTCCTCGACGTTTATTTTCGAAGCTTGGCTCATACAATGCTCTATATTACAGAGGCTTGAAATCCAATATTTGCATCCCAAACGGATTTTGATCCGCTATAGAAGACAACATAATCGGGATATCCCAAGTGCCGCGATCGCTTGAGGAAAAGCACCGTATGATGTACTATTTGACCAATTTTTACCTTCGATGCTGATTTCATCGCCTTGCTAATCGCCTTCAAAAACAGTTCAGAGTAGCACAAAACACGGATATATGAAGTTAGAAAAGGAGAAATATTCCATCATGACTTGCCTAAGTGACCTAAGTGAGCGAGTGGAAGCTCGATTCTACATAATTTGCCAAATAAAAATAAAAATAAAACATCTGATCTTCAGCATGTAAATTTACCTTTCCTTTCGGCTGTTAAAAACAACTGAGGCCCGTTTCAAACGTCGTGCTACTGCCGTGCAGAACTCAATTGATCGAATTAAATTCGACTTTAGCACGGCGGTAGCGCGACGTTTGAAACCAAGTCGTGCTACTGCTGTGTAGCACGGCAAGCCTTGCCGTGCTACACGGCAGTAACTCGACTTGGTTTTCAACGTCGTGCTACCGCCGTGCCGAACTCAATTCATAAATTACAAATGCATTAGAAGACATTTAAAAGTTTACTGAACCGTTTCTTTATTATTCTATTCGACTGAATTAAATTCGACGTCTGAAATCAAGTCGTGCTAGTGTCGTGCTGCAGTCGAGCTACAGTCGAGCCAGCTTAGCATGGCAGTAGCACGGCGTTTGAAACAGGCCTAAGTCCCGAGAAGAAAGGTCGGCATGTTACACAGTTTCAGTTCCGCTTCATCACTCTACAATATCTCGGCCAAAAATCATCCAAATTTTCTCTAAAACCTCGCGTTTGAAAATATTTCATCGCCATTTCTCGTTTTCGCAATATTTTTGAACAGTGGCATTTATTTGACGATAAACATGGTCGTATGTGACCACTCGATCTTTCCAACTATGATGAGCCCGGAATAGGACAGCCGGAATGTAAGTCGCACGTAACTCGACGTCCGAGATTTCTGGCCATGCCAAACCATACTCACGACTTCTTAAGAACATGTGAGTATTTTAACTATAGTTGGACTTTAGGACTCTTTTACCTTTTTTTCTGCTTAGTTTCCATTGATCGTTAACGAAAACAAGCAAATTTTCTTTGTCAGTATTACAGGAAGAATTTTCATTCAAACTAGACGATTGTGGCGTGTTTGCTCTCTCCTCCGCAGAGGCTCCCGCTGGGTATCCCCATCAAAATATCAATAATCGACAAAATAGAAAGCGCGCGGGGCCCCCGCGCGCTCTTTTTTTTTCTCCCAGCCTCCCCACAACACAAAAAGCCTCCTCACAATACAAAGAGGCCTCTGCAGAGGAGAGGCGTGTTTGAATGAATCAGCCAATAGAAGCGTTTGTTATCGTGTCATGCGTTACGAGAATTTTGCAGTTAATCAAAAGCATTTTTGTCAGCTATGTTATAAAAGAATTTGATATGGGGCTCCACTACTAAATGTCAATTCAGTGCCATAGTTTCAACGGCATTTTATCGTTTACAACGCATGCGAGTGCTTCTTTTGCTCTTCGAAGAAGCAGAATCCATTTCAATACCGGCATTTTTGATAACGTGCTTGTCACAGAAAACTTATAACCCCGGATCTTCATGATAACTTATTATTATTCTTGAAAAATCTGTCACCAGAGGAAAAAGTCCGGATAATTAAGAAGTCCGATTAAACGAGGTGGCAATAACCGAGATTCTATTTCAGTGCCGATGACATTAACACGGAATTTCTTCACCCCATGAATCACAAACTGCATCAAAGGATTGTTCTCACTTACATGTATTTTTCTTGGTTTTATTGAACAAGGATTATTATATATGTATGAGTGTACATATAGGATTATATCTTTTCTGAACTGGTTAGAATATTTTTTTTAGCGAGTGACCGTGCACTCGCTAAAATTGCCTGATGACTGTGGTCACCTTAAGGCCCGTAGGAAACGTAGTTGTAGCAATAAAGCGACTTATAACCTCTGAAGCCTGGAACTATCTTCCAATTTGCATTAGGATTATATTAATATATATAGCTTTAGAGAAACTTTGGAGAAAATGATGTACAAATACACCGGTTTTCATGTTGTGCCGATTAGAAACCAAAAGAAACACACGACTTCGTTTTCGTTATTAGACTGCTGTTGCGGTACAACACGGAGTCGATATTTAAAGACAGAAAATTCAGTAAATCACAAAATGAGTTCTCCAAGACTAAACTAACTGCAGTTTTCATGACATGTTACTGTTTGGCGACGTTATAAATGAAGAGCACCACTCCGAAGCATTCTGTGGCATGTTGTCTATGCTGAAATTTTGTTGGTTGGTTTGTTTTTTTTTTTCCAACACATCACGTTAATAAGCTCTAGATCAAAAAAAAAACAAAAAACAATAGTAGTAATAAACAAATAAAAGTAATAATATAGAAGGCTGGTAGATACAATGAAAATCAAGTTAGGTAAAGTTTCTTTTAATACCAATTTAATTTTCATAAAAAATTCAACTCTGACGTATTACATCTGTAATTGACAAGTTCTACTCGTCGAAATTTTAGACTTTTACGGGAACTTAGTCCAACCTCAGCATTTTCGTTGTACCAGCCTTGCATATGTTGTCATTTGTACTGCTGTTTAGTAAGCGTATTAGAGGAGACATAATGAAGAACTGATAGCATTGTTGCCGTCGAAAACTGAATATGCCGACGAATGAATAAAAAGGGATAAATCAGATCTTACTCACATTTCTTTCTTGAAAATGTGTCTTTC